TTGTGTTCGGTCTTCAGTCTACCTTCAGCACGCAAGAGATATACAGTTTTTATGCTCTTATACATTTCCTACCCTGTTTGCAAGGGGCCCTGGTTCCTGCCAGTGTGAAATGGTTTTCGGAGATCATAGTGAGGGTGCTTGGGGGAGCTCGATGCCACACACTTGGTTTCTATCTCTCTCTTTCATTAGTTAATTCTTTCCATTTTTGGGGGGTCATACCCAGTGATGCTCAAGGCTTACTCCTGGCTAGTAAGCAAGCTTGGTCCCCACAGCCACAAAGTCCCCTACAGATGTGCCCACCCTGCTAGCAAGGAGGACACCTGTCTCACCTGTGGGGCCTCCCCAATTCAGTCCCGCTGGGTGCACTCACTCCCATCTACCAGGACCTTTCCAATCTGCCTTGGTGCAGGGTATGCCACCTGGATTGGGTGACCACTGGAGCCCAGTAACTGCAGACACAGTGTCTCTGATGCCCTCCTTGGTGGCTGCTCAGGCTCTGTCTGAACTCAGTGCTACCTTGAGGCAGTTGTGACCTTGATGCCCTGGTCTCCCTCAGCCTCACTTGATCTTGGCACACGGCTGCTGTGGGCACTTGCAACCGCACACTCCTGGTCCCTGCCCAGGCCCTCTCACTCCTGTCATTTCAGGGCATGCCCAGCACTTCTCATGGGGACCCGATTGCCACGCAGGCTGGTCCACTGGGCACAGAGGCCCTTCCCAGGCACTTGGGAGCGTGAACCTGCCATCAGCTGCCCACATGTGCTCAGACTTGGCTCACAGGTGCTAGTACCCTTTTAAGTGCCAATTCCCATTCACCCCGTAGGCCTAATAGGCACTGACACCATTAATAGACACCAATCTGTGTAAACCCTTGGCCACTGTCCAAAACACCTGACCTCAGCACTCCAGCCTCTGGAGGGTCCTTGAAACTAAGAATTTCCTGTGGGTGCCTGGGTTCCCAGAGAAAATAGAACCAGCACCTGGCAATTGCAACCAGGAACTCCCAGTTGTCACTGAGACCTGCTCAAACATGGCACTCTGGCCCAGGTGCCCAAGTAGAACCAAACATAATGAGGGGATGGGGGAACTCAGTGGCTTGAGTGTCAAGATAAAAGCCCTTGGAGAATCCCAAGTACAGGACAGCAACCTAAACTTCCTGAAGCAACTGCCTAAATGGTGAGATCAGCGAAAGTTTCCTTCAACAAAGATGGAGAAAGTAAGAGAAAAGCCCAAACATCCATTAGGAAGCTAAATAATACAGTAGCGGACCTAAAGAGTCCAACAGAAGGGCTCCATAGCAGAGGACAGAAATTGAACACTGACGCAGTGAGCCTGAGAACAGGGCAGAGGAAACCATCCAAAAAGGCAAGCCAGGGACTAGGGAGAGAGTGCAGGAGTTAAGGCACTTGCCTTGCATGCAGCCAACCCTATGCGTTGCCAGGGTTCTTCACGAGCACAAACCAAGAAGAAGTCCTGGACATTACTGGTTATGGCCCTACAAATGAATCAGAAAGGAAAAGACAAAACCTGAAGGCTCTCACCAGTATGTGGAATGTAAAGAAGTAAAGCAAGATATTAGATAGTCCCCACGATCTAATTCGCTATCAGGAATGAACCCGGATAGTGCCCATGGAAGTATGAACTTGAGGTACAAGAGCAGAAAGGGGATCCTTGGATAGTGCTGGAAGGGTACTGCCACTCCACTTGTGGGGTGGTGGAGAAATAGTGCAGGTATGAAACAGTCGTGTTCAGACTAAGTGTAACTCATGAAATCTCGGTAAGGTCACTGATTTTAAAATAGGGGCTGGAATGTTAGTACAGTGGGTAGGGAGCTTGTCTCCCAAGCCTGCCAGGAGTGATCCCTGTGAGCAGAGCCAGCAGTGATCCCTAAGAGCAGAGCCCTGAGCACTGCTCGATGTTTACCCCCCATCAGAAAAAGGGGAGAAAAATATAATACATGTTATTATTTTTAAAAATGGGCCCTGGGGCTGGAGCGATAGCACAGTGGGTAGGGCGTTTACCTTGCATGCAGCCAACATGACCGACACGGGTTCGATTCCCAGCACCCCATATGGTCCCCTGAGCACCGCCAGGAGCAATTCCTGAGTGCATGAGCCAGGAGTAACCCCTGAGCATCGCCAGGTGTGACCCAAAAAGCAAAAAAAAAAAAAAAAAAAAAAAATGGGCCCTAGGGATGTAACTCACGGGTGGAGTACCTGCCTTGCTTGTGTGAAGCTAAGGTTTGATATCCAACACTGCAAAAATGGTTAAAATGGGATATTTTATGTATATAATATATAACATATATATATATTTAATTTTTTGTTTTTTCACACACGGTGGTGCTCAGTGATTGCTCCTGGCTCTGCACTCAGGAATCATTTCTGGCAGTGTCCAGGTGGACCTTATGGGATGAGGATTGAACCCAGATTGCTGCATGCAAGGCAAGTGACCCACCTGGTGTAGCGCTGTTCCGTTGTTCTGGCACTGCTTATTTATACTGAATGCCCCTCACTTCTGTCGAATGACTGTATGTGGAGAAAGGGCCTTTAAGCATGCAAGGAGTGCTATAGGAGCCATGAAGGTGGCTCCTGACACAATAGGACTGGTGTCCTCAGCAGAAAAGAGAGAGACAGCAGGTGTACCTGCCCAGAGGGAAGACCAGGTGAGGATGCAGAAGATGCCAGCTATGTGCTGGGAAGACAGCAGCACCTGCTTGGATTTCAGCCTCCAGAACTATGAGAAAATACCTTTTTTTTCGTTTCTTGTTCTTTTGGGTCTCACCTGACAGTGCTCAGGGGTTACCGCTGCTCTGCACTCAAGAATCTCTCCTGGAGGTGCTTGGCGGTCTATATGGGATGTCAAGGATTAAACCTGGGTCAGCTGTGCGGCAGGCAAGTGCTCTAACTGCTGTATCATCTCTCTGGCCCAAGACACAATACATCTTTATTGCTTACGTCACCCTGTCTGGTCTGCTGTGATGGCAGTCTGGGAAAATGACTACATCAAGATTTTATATGGAAATGGAGGGTCCGAGAGAGTGCTTGAAGGGCTGGGTTGTGCAGGCTCTGAGCTCCATCTTGTCATGGTCCCCTCAATACCACTGGGAGCCAAGCTGGCCCGCTCCACACCCCTGACCCCCTAATCTTACAGTAGTAGCATTCGTGGAGCATGGCTGGATGTGGTCCAACAACAACAACAACAACAAAATGAAATCAAGGCAAGCACTTACTGCTGTTCTATCTCCGTGGGCCAAATTTTCCTGATTTTCACGTTGTAAAGTCATTGCTGGTGATCTTAACCAACCACCTCCCAATGGCCGTTTTGCACCATCCTGTTCTTTTAAACACAGCTGTATATGTGACCATGATTGGACCCAAGCACACATGGCTGACTCTCAGTTCCTGAAAAGGAAAGTGTGACAGATCTAAGACCGTGCTACAGGTTCAGCCCATGAACTTGACTCGTGTTGGAGATTCTTCCAGGTCTCAGAATTCACTTGAGTTCAAGAATGTAAATTAAGGGTCAAGAAGCTTAATTGTGGACTTGTAGCCATAATTAACTAGGAAACACTTGAGTTTTACCAGAAAATTGAAATTGTCTAGAAACTTCCACCTGTGCTTAACATTCACTTTCTGAAGAGTTTTTGCAGATGGCTAATTTGCAAGGAGACGCAGGGATTGGAGGTGATGAATCAAATAGCTGACCTAGAAATCCCCTTGCTTGAAAAAGTCACCAAATCAGAGTGAGGCAGGTGGCATGTGCAGCTAACTTGTACCTCTTCTCCAGGGTAAGCAGAGGGACAGCTCTTTAAAATCTGATTTTACCACTGGTCCCATTTCCTTCCTTCCTTCCTTCCCTCTTTCCAGTCCTCCCTTCTTTTTTTTTTTTTTTGATTCGGGGCCACACACAGCAATGCTCAGGGGAAATTTCTGGCTCTGCATTCCAGAATCACTCTTGGTGGTACTTGGGGGGACCATATGAGATGCTGGGGATCAAACCCAGGTTTGCAAGGAAAGCACCCTGCCTGCTGTACTATCACTACGACCCCATCGTCCCAATTTAAAGTTTGTCAATTCATGGATTTAAGAAAAAGCACAATACCCCTCCATTTGCCAACAACAACAACAAAAAACCAAACAAAACCCAAAACCCAATTTCCCCAACCCCTAAGGCTTAGCATGGACATTGAGAGGCCAGAATGACAAGCGGCCCCAACCCGGTCTAAGACTGAAGCGAGATTTTTCTTCATTTCCACTTCACATCCTACCTATTATTTCTCTTACTCCATATAAGGTCAAAGCCATAAAGCCTGGGACTGGCCGCTTCAAGTTCCCACTTCCCCTTCTTCAACCACCTCTTGATCTTTTGTGACATCCAGGCTCCTCTGTCCAACTTCCTCTCGGTGAGCCAGCACTGAGGCTAAGGCGCTGGCCCGGCACGAAGCCCTCCGGGAGGTTTGATCCCCGGCACAGCACAAGGTCCCCGGAGCCTCGCGGGGAATAATCCCCGAGCTCAGAGCCAGGCAAGCCTTGAGCGCTACCAGGTGTGTCCCCCGCCTCCCCTGCAAAACAAAACAACCTCAGGCCAGGGATGTGGCTCGGCGGCAAGGCGCGGGTTGGTGCCTGTGTGCAGCCAACACCGGGTTGCATCCCAAGGCCTCAAAGATGCAGCCCCCACCCCCGACCCCCACCCCATCCTCCCTACAGGGGCATCCCGGCTCGGCCCACCTCTCCGCGCCCACCGCGGTTTTCCTGGAGACCCCCGAGGGGCCAAGCCTCTTGGCCACCGGGAGGCGCTCGGTAAAGGGTTCGATCCCCCCCACCCGCACCCCACCCCACCCCACGGCGGACACGTCACACAGGCCCCGGGAGCCAGCTCAGCCCCCGCGCCGCTCGCCCCCCGCGCCGGAAGCCCGCTCCCCGCCCCGTCCGCGCCGCGGCCCGCGGCCCCGTGACGCCCGGCACGGCCCGCCCCCCCGCGCATGCGCGCCGGGCCCCGCCGGCCGCCCGAGCCGCTGCAATCTGTTGCGCGGCCGCCCGCGGGAGCCGGCAGATCCGGGTCTCGTGGCCCAAAGTGACGTGGGCAATCGAACCAAAACAGAGGAGGGGAGGAAGCCGGCGGCCAGCAGCGGCGGCGGCGGCGGCGGCGTCCCGAGAAGGCTCCCGGGTTCCCGGCTCGCATCCCCTCCCGCCCCCGTCGCTCGGGTGTTCCGGGCGGGTGAGTGTCTTCCCCTTGCACCCCACCCGGACTCCCCCCACCCCGTCAAGCCCTCGCCCGGGGCTTCGCGAGTGCGGGGGGCTTGGCGGGGACTGCGGCAGGCGGCGGGGCGGGGGCTGCAGCCGCTACCGCCGCTGCCTCCGCCGCCGCCGCTGCTGCCGTTGCTGCTGCTGCTGCTGCTGCTGCTGGTGTTGCTGTTGCTGTTGCTGTTGCTGTTGCTGTTGCTGTTGCTGTTGCTGTTGCTGCTGCTGTTGCTGCTGCTGTTGCTGCTGCTGGGGGTGGCCCCGGCCCGGCCGGCTGGGCTGGAAGTGGACGCAGCCTCGGGGCGGGGGGTGGGGGGGGTTGACTTGTCTTTAGGGCCGGACAAGCCAACTCGGGTGGAGGCGTAGCGTGGAGTTAATAAGACACACAGACACACACACACACACACACAGACACGAGACTCAGCTGCTGGAAGGAGAAAAACCTTGCAAGCTCTCGAAATCCACACGCGGGTCCTTACACACACACACACACACACACACACACAGACACTCAGAACTGCTGGAAGGAGAGCAACCTCGCATGCAGTTAACACACACACACACACACACACGCACGAGACCCAGACAGAGCTGCTGGAAGGAGAGAAACCTCGCAAGCTCTCGAAATCCACACGCGGGTCCTTACACACACACACACACACACACACACGAGACTCAGAGCTGCTGGAAGAACAACCTCGCAAGCTCTCGGAATCCACCCCACGCGGGTCCTTTGGCCTCGGTGCCCCTCCCCTGGGTTCTGGGGAAGCCACCAGGATGCGTCCTTTGTTGGGATGGAAGAGGCAGGCAGGCCGCCGAGCAGGGTAGTGGGAGTCGCGATTCTTCTTCTTTTCCCTTGTTTTCGGAGCCCTTGTTGCATGGAGGCGAGTGGGAAGGGCCCCCCAGCCGGCTTGGCGCCGTGCGTGCCCGGGGCGGCGGCAGCCTTGGACCTGCCAGATCCGGGTGCACCCGGGAAGTGGCTGCAAGTTCCGTGTCCCTGACTCCAGCTGACGACGTTTTCCAACGTGGCTGTTTCCTTCTTGAGCGCGGTCAGGATTTTGGCGTGGCCAGGGGTGGTCCACTCCGAGAGGGGCGGGCGCCTGTTTTTCAGTTGTCTGGCTTTGCACATCAGAGATGGGGCCTTGACCCAGAAGACCTTTGCTTTGGTTTTGTAATTTTTCAGCCATCGGGCGAGTTGGGTGAACTTGACGCACGGAATATCCGTGCTTCCACTTTTTCCGCTGTTGTTGGCAGACTTGGTTGGCAGCTGTCCTCGGTGGGTGTGATAGTGTTGAGACCCTACCCGGCGCCCTGGAGTTCGCAGAAAGCCAGTGCCTCCTCTCCACCAGAGGTGCCTGGTCATGTAGATCTCTGCAGCTCTTCCCCACGGAGACCAGAAGACCCAAACTTCCAGTGCTGACTTGTTTAAAAAGCAACAACAACAACAAAAAACACTCCCTTCCTCCCCCACTCCTTAATTGAGGCTTTTCTTTGGTAAGCCTTAAGCTAGAAAAACAGAAGTACATGCCCAACGATTGCCTTTTGCATCCTATCCAGGTGGTTTCTTAGTGAGAGATTGTCTCACTCCCTTGAAGGATCTCTGTGCTCTTGTGGTGGCAAGTGGAGCTCTTCTAAGGGTTGATGTGTGTGAAGTTACGGGTGATTTTTCTTAGCATTGCAGTTAGAACCCTGCTGAGTTAACGCGGTTTTTCAAGTTTCTTGTTTAACCATTCGTGTTTATTGAAGATTTTGGTTTATACTAAATAATTTGGGATAATTGGAGAAAATGTTGATTATACTAGATAAGCAAAAAAAAAGATCATTAATGTCCATGCCATCCCCAAATCATCAAAGTGTTAGCAAGAGTTTTTTGGTTTTGTTTTGGTTCACACAATGTGATGCTCAGGGCTTACTCCTGGCTCTGTGCTCTGGAGACCATATGCGATGCTGGGGATCGAACGCTGGTTCACCACTTGAAAGGGAATTGCCTTACCCACTCTGCTATGGCTCCACTCTTTTTTGAAGCATTTGGGCCACATCTGGTGCTCAGACCTGCTTGGGAGAACATATGTGTTGCTGGGGACTGAACCAACTCAGCTGCAAACAAGGCAGGCACTGTAACCTGCTGTCCACCTTAACCAAGCCAGGGCTTTTATTCTCTGAGACTTCCTTTTAAAATTTTGATGTCTTTTCATTGGATTTTTTTTTTTTTTTTGCTTTTCGGGTCACACCTGGCGATGCTCAGGGGTTACTCCTGGTTTTGCACTCAGGAATCACTTCTGGCAGTGCTCAGGGGACCATATGGGATGCTGGGAATTGAACCCGGGTCAGCCGCGGGCAAGGCAAACGCCCTACCCGCTGTGCTATCACTCCAGCCCCCTGGATTTTGTTTTTCTTTTTGATTTTATTATTATATTTTATTGAATCGCAGGGAGATACATAGCTACAAAGTTGTTCATGGGTTTAGTCATACAATGTTTCAGTACCTGTCCCATCACTAGTGTGCATTTTCCTGTCACCAATGTCCTCAGTTCCCCCCCCCCCCCGCTCCCTCCCCCTTCCCCAGCCTGCTTCTATGATGTCTTTATGTACCCAAATGGTAACACACTGCGTGTGCTTTTCTGAAGCCTGATTCTTACACTGTTGTATTTCTTTGAGCGACAAAATTGAACTTTGTGCAGATATTTACAGATAAAAACTTTTGGACCTTAACATTAAGGGAATAGCCAAAGTATGTTTAGTAAATACTAATAATCAAGATTGTGTTCCTAAGAGGCATCCTCCCAAATCTATGCTATGGTAAGATTTAAAAATTGATATGCATTTGAGTGTCAAAAATAATGCTTTGCTGAAGTCTCAGAGAAGAGGCACAGGGGATTCCGACTTGACAACATGGAATCTTAAAAAGTTTTTGCTAATTTAGTGATTTGATTCAGAAAAATGTTTGTTCAGTTCTAAACCTCTAGGGCCCTCTGTGTTGCAGAAGCTAACCAGCTGTCCAGGCTGCTGGCATTTAGGTCGTGGAAGATTTCACTTTACAAATCAAACTTAGTTTGTTTTATTAACTCTGAGTCTTGATTGTGTGCCCAGCTAGCCCGTCGCTTTATCAGTGGCACCAGAAATAAAGGAAATGTCTCCTTCTTTTGTACTTCAAAGATAAATGTATTCACTGGAGTCTCCTAAGTACACTAATAACTTACCGTTTGGGTTCTTTACCGGTAAACTGAACGAAAATCTTTACATCTCTGTTTTCATTCTGTATCACTTGGGTTATTACTTCAGTTGCTTACTAATGATCTTAGTGGTTTTCACTGATTTGTCCTCATTTACCAGTGTTTTTTTTAAATTTAAAAAAAAATTAGGCTACTGCTATTGATGCTCAGGGGTTATTCCTGGTAGATCTTGGGGGGCCATATGGGATGCCTGGGATTGAGCTCTGGCCAGCTACATGGCCAAGCACCCTACTCCCATACTCTTGCTTCGGCCCTTCAGTGTTACAGACTGGTCTACTTCTGTTACCATTCCCCACCTGGCTTGCTGAGGTACGCTCCAACATTGGCTTTTGATCTTTAGAGATCCTTTCAATTGCAAACCAGATTATATTGTCTTGTTGTCTTGTTGAAAGCCTTCTATCAAGTTCAGAATCAGATCTAAAAAGTCTTGCTAAGACTTGGGCATGTTTTGGCTCTGCCTTTCTTACCCTCTGACTCTGTTGTCCCTGCCGCCACCAGTACTCGGGAGCCTGGCCACGTCTTTGACTGCCTGTGTTCTGGTTCCATCAGCATCGCCCTTGCTGTGCTCAGAAGCTTCAGTGCTCTCCCCTTCCAGCTTTGTCGTGACTGATTCTGTGTCACCATTCAGGTCTCCGTTCAGATGTGGGCACTTCGAAGCGATTGCACTTAGATTATCTCTCTCTCTTTTTTTCTTTCTTTTTGGGTCTTACCCTGCGATGCTCAGGGGTTACTCCTGGCTCTGCACAGGGGACCATATGGGATGCTGGGAATTGAACCCAGGTCGGCTATGTGGAAGGCAAACGCCCTACCTGCTGTGCAATTGCTCCAGCCCTAGATTATCTCTTTATTCACCTCCTCTCCACTCATCTCCTCTCCTTCCATCCCTTCCCTACTCCTCTCCTCCCCTCTCCCTGCCCCTCTCCTCCCCTTCTCTTCTTTTCTATCCTCTCCTCCCCTCCTCTCCCTTCCCTTCCTCTCCTCTACTTTCCTCTGGTTTCCTCCCCTCTCCTTCCCTTCCCTACCTTCTTCCTTCTCTCCTTTCCTCCCCTCCCTGCTCCTCTCCTCTCCTTCAGGTGTTTGTGCCACACCCTGTGGCTTTCAAGGCTTCTGCCTCTGGTCAGGGATTACTTCTAGCAAAGCCCTGGGGATCGAACCCAGGTTGGCCATGTGCAAGACAAATTGCCTTTTCTGCTCTATCACTCTTTTCTTTTTTTGTGTGTGTGTTTTGGGTCAAACCTGGTGATACTCAGGGGTTACCCCAGGCTCTGCACTCAGGAATCACTCCTGGTGGTGCTCGGGGGACCATATGGTAGCCCAGGATTGAATCTAGGTCGGCCATGTGAAAGGCAAACGTTCTCCCTACATTATCATCACTCCGGTCCCTCTATCACTTTTATTTATAACATTTAATCACTCCTGGGAATTTCCTTGATTAAAAAAGTTTTTTTGACACACCCAGATGTTCTGTGGTGGGGTGCGGATGGGGAGGGGGGTACAGGATTAAGCAATGATGAATATCTAAACTGGGCCTCCTGCATGCAAAGTGTGTGCACCAGACCTTTGCACTATCTCCCTAAGCCCAAAGTCGGGATGCCTGGGATTGAACCTGGGTTGGCCACGTGCTGGGCAAGCATGCTCCCTGCCCACTAGTGATTCTTGGTCAGGGGTGCTGGCAATTCAATACTAGGGTCCGAGGATTCTGTGTAACTCAGGCCCTGGCAGTTCCAGGGAGATCTGGGCCATG